GACGTTCTCATGGGTGTAAAGCAGTATCTCAATGGGCTTTCATTTGCTTGTCCTTAGTGAGCAATGATGTTGCGCATATGTTCATATGTTTGTTGGCAATTTGTGTATCTTCTTTGGGAAACGTCTATTCAATTCCTTTGCCCATTTTTAATTGGGTTATTTGTCTTTTTATTGTTGAGTTATAGGAAGTCTTTATATATTCTACATATAAGTCCCTTAGTAGATATATAATTTTTAAATATTTTCTCCTATATCTTTGGTTATCTTTTCATTTTCTGCCTTTCCTTCCTTTGTTTCTTTCCTTCCTTCCTTCCTTCATTCACTCCCTCCCTCCCTCTTTCCTTCCTTCCTTCCTTCTTTCCTTCCTTCCTCCCTTCCTTCCTTTTCTCTTGGTCTTAATAAGGCCTCTACCCCAAAGTTACTCACACCACTAGCCATCACATAAGTACACAAAAGACTTCGTGATAAACTGAGCGGTCTCCAATGTGGACTGGTACTTGCTGGCCAGAGAAGAGGCCCACACTGTCAGTGAAAGACCCCTGAGGTGAGCCCAGAAATAGGGCAGCATCAAGGGCAGGTGTGGGGTCAGAGAAGAGGAGAGATGCCGGGTAATGGGCAGGAAGCCCAGGCTCAAATCTCACCTCTGTGTAGACCTGGAGGAGCAGTTGCCCACCTGTCTCCCCAGAGAGCACGTATCTGAGAATGAGCTGAGCATGACTATTCTCCCACCCCCACCTCCATGGGGCACCTGGGGGTCAGGCTGAAGAAATGGGTAACTGAAGAGCTTGGCAATCATCACTCTGTTCCTTCAGAACACCTGGCTGTCCCCAATGCGGTTCCTCCACCCACCCCAGCTCCAAGGGCCAGGAACTGCCCATCCCCATCCAGGTGGGTGAGAACGGATAAGACAAGGGACACGTGGAGGATGCTCCAATCCCCTAAGGCAGAGACTCAGCAGAAAGTGGTGGGGCCAAGGGACCCAGCACCACCAGCATAGGAACAGTGCAGGAGGAGTCCCGGACAACTCAGATGGAAGGAGAGTTACAAAGGAAGCAGTGACACCAAAAATGTGAACTTCTTAAAGTAAATCTAGCAAAAGACACTCCAGACACCTAAACTGAAACCATAAAATATTGCTGAGAAAAAATTTAAAAGACCTCAGTAACTGAAAAGAAATACCATGTTCATGGATTGGAAGACTCCATATTGTTAAGGTGGCAGTGCTCCCCTAAGCTGATCTATAGATTCAATGTGATGTAATCAAAATTCCAACAGGCCTTTCTAAAGAAATTGACAAGTTGATTCTAAATTTGCATGGAAATGAAAAGGACCTAGAACAACCCATTAAAAAAGAAGAACGAATTTGGAGGACTTATCCTATTGATTTTAAGCCTTCTCTAAAGCTACGATATTCAAGATGGATTTGATATTAGAGACAAGATAAAAACATAATGGAACAAAATAGTCGAAACAAATGCACATATATTTGGGCAATTCATTTGATAAAGATACTCAGGAAATTTAATCGGGAAAGAAAAGTCATTTTAATAAATGATGCTGATTAACTGGCCATCCATGAAAATAAGTGAACATCAATGCTCACCTCACACTACACCCCACAATTAACTCAGAAGGGATCACAGACCTGAATCTACCTCCTACAGTATAACTTTACAGGAAAACATGTGAGAACATCTCAGTGACCCTGGGCGGCACAGATTTTTAGAACACACACACAAAATCATAAAAGAAAAAAAATTGATGAATTGACCTTCATGAAAAATGTTTAAATGTCTTTTGAAAGTCACCCTTACAAAGATCAAAAGGGAAACCCTAGATAGGAAAATGGTATTCACAAGAGCTTGTATCCAGAACATGCAAAGAAGTGCTACAGCTCAGTGAAAAGACAAGCAGTAAGATAGGCACATTGTTTAAGCAGACACGTCACTGGAGAAGGTGTGTGGCTGGCAAATACGCACCGGGAAGGTCCGCCACACCTGCAGTCCCTGGGGAGAGGCAGGTGAGCACCACAAACCCGGCAGAATGGCTGATGCCAAGGGGACAGTGTCCCAGTCGGGGACAGAGGGCAGAGCAGCCAGGACTGCCGCTCAGATGTAAACAGTGCAACGGCTTCAGAAACAGTTTGATGGTTTCTTAAGAAGCTAAACACTCACCCCCTATGTGACTCAGCAATTCCACTCCTAGGTATTTATTCAAGAGAAATAAAAGCACACCCACACCAAGACCCACACATGTTTAACGTTGCAGCAGCTTCGGTCGCAAAGGCCCCACACTGGGACCAGCCCGGGTGTCCCTCTGCACGCGAATAAACGGACGTGGGGTTCCTATCTGGGGCACGACACTGATGCACAAACCATGGAGGCATCTCAAAGCCGCCTGCCCAGGGAAGGAGCGTGTGATTACATCTATAGAAACCTCCAAGAAATGCAGGCCAGTCTGCGGGAAAAAGGCATCAGAGGCTGCCGGGACGAGGTACAGGAAGGGATGACAGGGAGACTCTGGGAGTGACAGGCGTGTCTGTGACCTTGGTTCCAGTGACGTTTTCACGGGTGTTTACGGAGGTCAAAACCGATCAGACAGTGCACTTTAAATTTTATTTTTTAATATATTTTTTATTGATTTCAGAGAGGAAGGGAGAGGGAGAGAAACATCAATGATGAGAATCATTGATTGACTGCCTCTTGCAAGCCCCCTACTGAGGATTGAGCCCGCAATCCGGGCATGTGCCCTTGATGGGAATCGAACCCAGGACCTTTTAGTCCTCAGGTGGACGCTCTATCCACTGAGCCAAACCAGCTAGGGCTGGATGGTGCACTTTAAATCCATGCAGTAGAAGGTACTGCAGTTATAGCCCAATAAAGATGAAAAATTCAGACAACAGAAGGGAAGGCCCACCGCTCACTCCCCCTGTGAGCTCACAGTGTCACCCCGCTGCTCCCAGAAGCCCTGGGGACCCAACAGCACCCAGGTCCACTCTGCATCCAGCCCGAGGAAGCCTCTGTGGAGCAGGTTCTGCCCAGGAGCCGGACACCCGTGAATCCGGGCAAATGCGCTCTCCTCTGTCCACCCCATGCTCCACGACTTTCTCACCCACACCTTCCAGGAGGAAGATGGGCACCCACAGACCCATCACCCACCCCAGAGGGCAGGGCCAGACCAAAGCCCCACAGCCCTCTGGCCTGGCCAGGAGGCCGAGGCCACAGCTGGAATACAGGGATGTAGCTCACACCCGAGGAGGGGCTGTGGGCTCGGATGCCCTGCATTCAAACATCAAAAACAGAAGTCGTCTGGCCCCCAGTTTCCTGGAACATGTCCCTGTGGAGATGCCCGGCTCGCACGCACACACCCAGCTGCTCCCCATGAGCGTCTTGAATCCGAGTCTAACATGCTTGGTGCCGCTTACATCAGCAAGGAAAGGACTGATTATTCACTAACAGTGTTAAAAACAACATTCAAACTTTTTTAAAGGAATCCATAAAAGTTGAGAAGAAATATTTGCAAAATTCTCTTATAAACACGAAACATTTCTAATGATGATGTAAAATTAACCACAAAGGAAAAGATTCATGCATTCAACTTTATAAAAATTAAATTTTTCTGCACAGCAAAGAACACCATAACTAAATTAAAACTGGGGAAAAGTATTCGAAACACACTCAAGAATTAGTCTCCCTGACATACAAGCTCCTAAGGATCAAGAAGCACAGAAACATTAACAACGTAATAGAAAAATGAGCAAAAGTTACCAACACTCTAGATGAAATTATTTAGAATGGTACGTATGTAGCTGGTTTTTGAAGGTAAAGTTTTAGACGAGTATACTCGTCGACGACTGAAAAAAGAACATTTTGTGAAAACGTGTATACACGTTTCTGCCGGGGAAGGGGTTAAACCTCACTTGTGATTAAAGCATCCAAATACCAAAGCCTGAACCACACATGTGCCCAGCTGGGGAAGAGACGCACCTTGACTGTGGGGTAGTGCAGTGACCTGCCAGTAGTGTCACAGGTGCCCACACCGCTGACTGAGCAGTCCCGTGTTACGCATGAGTGTGCTTGTTGGGCTGGGCCTTCATGTACCTTCTTGCCAGCTAATAACCTGCTACTGCTCCGTGGGTGCTGGCGGGAGGCACAAGTCTGCGCCTATTGCCTTGCCCTCACCCAGGCGCACATCGATCCATCCTGCAGCCGCCTTCCCCTGCAGCCACACCATGCCTGTGTTCCGGCACCCACCCCACCTAAGGCCTGTGGTGCCCTGAGGCCACAAGGGCCACACAGCAGACTCAGGTGGCAAATCTGCTTGCCAAAGTCCAGCCTCACAGGCCTTTGCTGCCTCTCCTTGGGGCTGTGGAGCCACACTGCTGACAACCTCACACAGAATCCGGCAGCTGCATGAGGCCAGGGGCGGTCAAAGAACACAGACCCACACACAGGCTGCTGACGGTGTGCACTCACACACACAGTCCACGCACATACGCAGTCACTCAGAACTGTATTAAACACATGCACACACAGCTGAATTACACATACACTCACACAGTTGTATTGCACACTCACTCACACAGCTGTATTACACACAGCAGTATTACACACACACACACACACACACACAGCTGTATTGCACACACACACAGAGCCCCAGCCGATGGCGGACACCTGCAGGACCCCTGTTGGAGGAGCAGAGGTAGCCTGTGGGCCACTGGGATGCCACGCTCTGCTGACCCCCAGCAGGACATCCCCTAAGCCCTGCTTTCCCGCAGCTACCACAGACCTCACACTTCTGTGGCCCAGAGCCCCACTGGGCCAGCCACAGGCAGGCGGAGGGACTGTGAGCAGTGGTGATGTGGTGGAAGGGGGTCTGGAGCCGCCTGTGGCGAGGGTTCCGGAAGCTCCAGGCAGGGAGAATGAGCCCCCGACTCCTTCCATCTGTGGTGAGGCTCTCAAAGGAGCCCTGGGTGAGTCCCAGCTGAGGACAGGGGTCACCAGGGCACAGAGGGGGTTGGGTGCTCACCACTGACAAGGTGACATCACAGCCCTCCATGGGGGCTTCTGGCCGAATAAGCATCACTGGGCTCACTTCACCTTCATCAAAGTCAGAGCAGCTGCAGCAGGCTCTACAGCAGTGGCCACCTACAGGCGGGCAGCGGCGGCCTCCTGCTGTGGGCCAGTGTGCACGCCCTGCCAGGCCTCCCAGTTCCCTCCATCCCTCAGGAAGCCATGACCAAAACCTCTCCTGAAATTCACTTTGCCAGTGAAAGTGCACACACTGTCCCCCTTCATCGGTGACAACCAGCAGAAAAAGAAGGTAATACGTTACTGTTTCTGGACGGGCTTCCTTCTCTTCCTCCCTGCGTACATGCACTCGCCCGGCGGGATCATCTTCGGCCTGGAAAAGAAGGGAGAACCTGGTTGTTCATGGTGAAGAGGCCCCAGGGCCCCCCAACTCCCCGCACCACCCAAGGCAGCAGTGTCAGCTGAGGTCTCTGTGCCAGGATGGGGGTGTCGTGCTGCCCTGGACCCCTGTACAGGGGTCCCAACTCCTCCATCGCCACTCGAGCAAGATGGCCCATGGCACTTCCAGCACTGCCAGGAGCTGGTCCATCCTTGCTGTTTCAAGGGGCCTGTGATATATGGCATACTGTTCTTAATATGTTTGCTCACCTTCTTGGCACTATGTGTTTTAACCAAGGTCACCTCTCTGAGAAGGGTTGTTTCCCCAGGTAGGGATTTTCCCCTGAAGTTAGGGAGGGAATAAAACCCCTTCACTAAGTGCCAGGAGGGTAGAACATGGCAAAAGATCCTGGAAAGAAACTGGAGACAGAACCTCGAGACACAGAACCTAGAGACAGAACCTAGAGACAGAACATGGCCAAAGATCCTGGACAGAAACTGGCAACAGATCCTGGAGACAGAACTTAGCGAGAGAACCTGGCTGAAGAACCTAGAGACAGAACCTGGCTACAGAACCTGGATAGAACATGGCAAGAGAACCTGACTAGAACCTGGTGACTGAACCTGGCTGGAGAACCTAGCTGGAGATCCTAACCAGAACTTCGCTGGAGATCCTGACCAGAACTTGGCTAGAGATCCTGGCTAGGCTGCTGATCAACTGAACACTGTCTGTGTCATTCCTTCTTCGCCGACTCCGTCCACATCTTTGGGGACCCCTGGACCCGCTGGGGTTGGACCCCAGCACAGCACAAGCCTGCGCTGCCCATGCCTCCTCTCACTCAGGGCACCCTGGCAACATCTCCCCTTTGATGGGCAGCATCACATTCCCAGCCTGGCCCGAGGACCTGTATCACTGCACCCTACACTGAACACCCTGTGCTCTTGCCCCTGCCTCCCTCGGAAAGCCTTACTGTGGACAGATGTACTGGGCCTGCCCTTAGGACGCAGAAGCCGACCCACGTGGACCCGTGAGCAGGACGCACAGCCAGGGCACAGCGGAGGCTCCGTGCAGGCCCAAGGCTGCGTGTCCTCCCTCGGTGGCCTCTGTGGTGGGTCTTCTTCCTCTTCCCATCCTCCCCCTAGTGGCTCTGAAATCTGGGCCAATGGGCTTCCTCTTTTCTGTGCAAAATCTGTCACTTAGGCCCCAGTGCGGGGCTTCCACTTTGGTCGCTAACTCACAGCTGCCCCAAGCCCAGCTGACCGAACCCGCCAGCCTCCACCAGTGCCGCTGGACAGAGGTGCCCCAATCCAAGCAGCGGCCCTAGGGGCAGTCACATTGTCCTGAGGCTGGTCAGCTTGTCAATCACTTCAGGCTTCTGCACAGCGAGGATGTCTGAGGCCTCACATCCTGCGGATATGACCACTCCTGTGCAGTGACCACTCAATGCCAGGTTCTGGGCCCACAGATGTGGAGAGGAGGTCAGGAGCCCTCACCTGGCCTCAAGCACCTGCAACCTGGAAGAGGAGGTGGACTCAAACTCAGAATTTCCATCCTGAGCAAAAAGTGCCCTGAGAATATCAGGTATGTGTCATGAACCCACTTCAAATACATGCAACACACTGTGAATATAAAGACATCAGCAGGTACAGTAAGTGGATGAAAAAAGACACAGCATGCAAACGCTAATCAAAGAGGCTGCAGTGGCTGCATGAGTATCTGACAAAGTAGACTTCAAAAAGGGGATATTCCCAGGGACAAAGAGGGATATCACATGATGACAGACAGTTCCGTTTTCCAAGAAGACACAGCAATCCTAAATGTGTGTTCACCTAAGAACACGGATGCTTCAAAATACATAAAAAGGTAAATTCATCAGAGACTGCAACACTGCTCTCTCAGTAATTAAGACAATGAGTACACAATATCAACGGGTATGGAACATCCCAACAACAGACATGAACGAACTGGAACGTACAGAACACTCCATCCAACAACAGCAGAGTACACATCCCATCATTCATCAGGACAGATTTCATTCTGGGAATTAAAACAAATTTAAAAGAATAGAAATGATATGAAGTATATTTGCTAACAATTATGGAATTAAACTAGAAAACATATCAAAAATTCCAAAATGTTTGGAAAGCAAACTATTTCTAAATAACCATAGGTCAAAGAGAAAGTCTCAAAGAAATTTAAAAGTCTTTTGGACTAAATGAAAATAAAAATACAACATATCACCCTTTGTAGGTTACAAGCTGGGCAGTACTTTGATGGAAACTGATAGCATTAATCATTTATATTAGAAAAAAGTCTCAAATCAGTAATCTAAGTTTCCACTATAAGTAAGTAGAATAAAAGAAAACCAAATCAAGCAGAAAGATGGGAATAATGAAGAGGAGCATATCAGTGACATTTAAATAGAAACATGGAGAAAAATCAATGAAAACAAAAGTTGGTTCCTTATAAAGATCAACAAAATTTATAAGCCTCTAGCCAGACTGATCAAGGAACAGAGATACACAGATTACTAATATCAGGAATGAAAGAAGGGACATCACTATAGATCCCACATACACTAGAAGGAAAAGAAGAGAATACTGCTATGAACTTAGTTGTGCTCCCTCTGCGCCCCACCCCCTCCCCCACCACCAAATCCATAGGCCCTAATCTTCCATTTGACTATATTGAAGACAGTGCTTTTCAGGAGGTAATTAAGGTTAAATGGGGTCATGAGGTGGAGCTCTGTTACCCTGGTAAGAAGAAAAAGAACTCGCCCTTTACCATGTGAAGGTGGCCATCTGCAAGCCAAGAAGATGCTCTCACTGGAAACCAAATCAGATGGCACCCTGATCTTGGACTCCCAGCCTCCAGAACCATGAGAAATAAATTTCTATTGTGTAAGCTGCCCAGTCTACAGTGTTATGGCAGCCCAAGTTGACCAAGGCACATACTATACCCACAAACCCAACAATTTAGATTAAATAGACAAATTCCTTGAAAAGCACAAACTACCAAAACTCACTCAAGAAAAAATAGATAGCATGTTTAGTCCTATGTCTATTCTGAAAATAGTGGTTCCACTGGTAAATTCTACCAATTTAAGGAATAAATAATACTAATTCTCTGCAACCTCTGGCAGAAAATGAAAAATAAAATAAAAAATTGCCAACTCATTTATAAGTTCAATATCACCCTGATACCAAAAAGCAAAGACATTTCGAGAAGAGAAAACTACAGACCAATATTCCTCGTGAACAGCCCATCCATGAAGAAAATGACACCCGGGCACAATCATAATCAAATAATCAGCTATAAATAGAATAATCGTTAAAACAGCCATTGGGCAGAGAAACAAAGATGAGAGTAACAGCAGATGCATCATCAGAAACATGCGTGCCAGAAGACAGTGGGGCACTAGCCTGAAAGCATGGAGAGAAAAAACTCAGACCTAGAATTCAACACCCTATGAAAACACCTTTCAAAAATGAAGGTGAAATAAAGACTGTTTCAGACATATGAAAGCTGAAAGAACCCAGCTGACCCAACTAGAAGAAATGTGAAAGGGTGTCTTCAGGCCAAAGGAAACCGATACCAGATGGTAACATGGAACACAGAATGGAACACAAAGCACGGATTTGTTCCTGCCATTAAATATCTTTAAAAGATAATCGACTGTTTAAAAACAATGATAACACTGTATCATGGCTTTATAACACATGTAAATGTCAAGGGTGTGGCAAGGATAGCACAAAGGCCAGGAGGGGCAGTGGTGGGGGTAAGGGTCTTACACTACCCCTGAAGGGGCAGAAGGTAGCCTCCAGGCTCCACACTCACCCTCCCTGCCTGATCCACACGGATGGGCTGCACCCCTCAAGCATTTCTTCTTTGAAGTTAGCACAATGTGCAAAAGTGAGGGGCTTGGCGTTCTAGTGCTGCTGATCTTTCTGTGTGTTTCTGCTCACATCTGCCAGAGGCTGGGACCCAGAGAACTTCACCAACCGGGGACTGAACAATACCTTCTCCAAGGAGCCTGAACCCAGGTTTGGGGAGGGTCTTTCACATCTAAGTGTGCTCCTCAACTTGCTCAGGCCTGGAGAACCCTTCAGGGTCTCTTTTCACTGTTGGAGCTAGTACTTACTTCTTTATATTCAAGTCTCTCAAATCACACACAACAAGATTAAGGGTATAAAAAGCTAATTTTTTTAAAGTGCACATATTTCAGAGACACATACTAAAACACATATGAAAGAAATAATATGTCAGGGATTTGCTTCTACAACGAGGGAGCAGAGTGGTGTCTGAATGGAATTGTATCAGCTAATATGGGTGGTTGGACATCTATGCTGGCTGAAGAATAACTTGGGCTCATTAGAAAATTGTGCCCACTTTTGTAAAAGATGTGAAAAAATCCATAATAACTTTTCAAAGCACTAAAAACAGAGAAAATGTGTCATAAGAATAGGCATACTGCAGTCAATTGGTTTTCAACAAGGGTGCGAAGGCCATTCAATGGGGAAAGGACAGTCTCTTTAACAATGGTGCTGGGACAACTGGGTATCACAGGCCAGAGAATGAAGATGGACCCCTACCTGACAGCATATAAAAAAACTAAGCAAAATTAGTTAAAAGACCAAAGTGTAAGAGTTAAACTATAAAACTCTCAAAGAAAACATAGGGCTACATCTTCAGGACCTTAAATTTGGCAATGGATTCTTAGAAATGTTATCAAAAGCACAAGAAAAGAAAAAAAATAGACAAACTGGATTTCATCAAAATTAAGACTTGTGCTTTAAAGAACACTCTCAAAAAAGTGAAAAAACAGCCCACAGAATGGGAAAGAAACATTTACCAGTCATATAACTGATAAGGACCTAGTATTCACACTATACAACGAACTCCTACAACTCAACAACAAGAAGACAAACAACCGAATTTAAAAGTAGGCAAACAATTTTAATAAATTTTTTCCCAAAGAAAATATAGAAA